CTGATTAGCAGGGAGTTTTTCCTCTCCACCGTTTGCTCAGGATGGGAGACTGTGATGAAGTAATTCAACACAATCTGCTGGTTTCTTCTTTAGATTGTTCTTTTTATGTACAGTGCCCTGAGACAACGTATGTTGTGACTTGGCGCTATATAAATAAAATTGAACTTGAACTTATAATCATTTAAGAGACACAGATACATGTACAAGTAAAAGGACAAACAAAAAATAAATATTTTTAAAAACAGTAAAAATACAGTTTTTACTGTAAATCAATCAATTAAATTATAAAACATGAGGTAAAGTTCTCCGTTTTTAATTTAATTGGTATATTTTCAGTGTTTATTGGTCCATTTCTACATTTCTGCTTTTATTTCTAATTAAGTCACTTTCAGCCCTCTGTAACACCTACCTATTGGAGAGTCTTTTTAGCTTCCTTCTTGTTTTTGTTCTTTCTTTTGAAGAACATTCCAAGCAACTGATTAGGCCACATCGGCTGTTTTTGCTGTTTCTGATGGGTTTTGTTTTGATTTTTCAGCTTGCTTCCCTGACAGTGACAGCTCTTTGGATTTCATATTGAAAGGCAACAACAGATTCCAATGAACACTAGTCACTTTAAATGAACTCTAAACCTTTCATCTGCACCTTGTAAAAGAGATAATGAGGAATAACACACACATGGACAGCTGAGCAGAAAAAAATTGGGCGGCACTTTTACAAACTGTTGTATTTTATACACCATTCACCTGATTGAGAAGTAAATATTGAAGCTGACAGTCTGCAGTGAAGTTTCTTTAAATTTAAATCCATTGTGGAGTTTACAGTCAAAAAGATGAGAATAGTGTCAGTATCCCAGTCTTCATGGAGCTGACTGTATGTGTATGTAAAATACCTGGAACATCTCGTTGATGCCCTCGCCGCTTTGGGCTGACGTCTCAAAGTAATGGAACCCTCTGGACTCGGCCCACAGACGGCCCTCCCCCTCATCCACCACCCGTCTCTTGGTCAGGTCCACCTGCACAGACCCAACACTCAGATACACCTCTGTTTCTGTTTCAGCACTTTGACCTTTAGGGAAGGTTACACGCGCACTCATCACACCTTGTTGGCGCAGACGATGAAGACGATGCTGTCCATGTTGGCCTGCGAGCCCATTTCCTGTTTCATCTCTGCCAGCCAGCTGTCGAGGGCGTCGAAGCTCTCCCTGAGGCCGACGTCGTACACCAGCAGCACGCCCTGACTATCTTTGTAGAACTCATTCCGCACCTGAAACAGACAGATGGGACAGACGGGTTGCAGGTTGACACCTGTCAGTCTGAAGTCTGCTGGAAACTCAAGTCTCACCTCGTAGAAGAACGGATGTCCGGCCATGTCGAAGATGTTCACTTTGATTTCTCKGTCTCTAACCTGCACTCTGACAGAAAAAAAAAACATCAGAACTACATCAGAGTGTACACAGACTCACTAAGCGAGAGCATGGACTCACTTCGTGACACCATAGTCGATGCCGATTGTAGCCAGATACTTTGGAACAAATCKCTTCTCGCAGTAACGCTTGATGATGCAGCTCTGAGGATAAAAACATGTTTTTAATCACTTCCTGTATTTTAAAAGTTGAACTTTTTATCTGAAATAAAGCTGGTTGGGAGAAAAAAAGGGCTTTTAGTGTCATGAGACAAAAATCTGGACTTGGAATCATGAATCTTAAAATCCTGGTTTCCTTTCAAAAGTCTTCTTTCTTAAATTTCTCCATGAAGCKGCCCCACTCATGAGTTCACATCCATCCCCCTTACCATAACCATTACTGTGTGAATGCTGATTCAGCATTAAATTTTAGCTCCTTTAGTCAGTCAGCACTTATTCACTCTGAATTTTTAGCAAAAAATTCAATATCTCTATCATAATTCCTACATCAAACCTTAACTGAACCTTGAATATGATTAAAGCTCTCATGACCGTTATACACTCCTGATCAAAATCTTAAGACCAGTCAAAAAAGTGCAAGAATTTGCATTTTGCACTATTGGATCTTAAGAAGGTTCTAAGTAGAGCTTCACAATGTTAAAAGAA